AAGGGCCCTGCTAGCTTCCTCCCCGACTACTCCGCAGCGCAGACGGAGGCCCGTTACGCTGAGCACTGCACGGCCATGTGCAAGCAGCAAGCCCGGCTGCAGCACCTCAATGTCGCTGATGGGTATCTGGAGGAGCAACCAAGACACAGCTGCAGCCTGCACGGCAGAGGGTTAGTGTCTAGCGCTGATATGCTCAGTGCTGCACAACAGCCGCTTCCCGGGGCTCTTACAGCCGGACGGGCAGGCAGAGAGCACAGGCTGCCCTGGGAAATCCACAGGGGGAGGGCTGCGTGGAGGTGTGTGATCCACAGCAAGTTAGACCCACAAAAGCAGTGCTTGGGACGGGCTTGAATGACCACAGGGTGCTGCTTAGAGCAGCGTCCCATGCACGGGGCAGAGGGTGGGAGAAGGGAACGGCCTGGCCCTGTTCAGAGCAGGGGACAGATGTCACTAGGGCTGGAGCTCTGAAGGTGAAAACACAAAATTTCCCGTTCTCTGGGGAGCCAGCAGAGGCGCCGAAAGTCACTTAGGGCCCCGCTAATTATTCCATCCATGTGCAGAATACACTTTGTTCTGTGCACTGAAGCATGTGCAGCTGTGCACCGCCAGTAAAACACAGGCTGCCAGTTGTGACACTGCGGGCGCTCTGCTCATCAGCTGGGTGGCATCTGAATCTCTCCTGGGAGGCCACCCAGGCGCTCAGCTGAAGGGAACACTGGCCAAGGGCGGGATACTGGGATCCTACTGAAAGGGGTCCAAGTGCGTGTCCGTGTGGCCAAAGAGGAGGAAGACTGAGGAGCTGCATGGCTCAGTGCCTCAGTTCACAGAATCACGGGGCCGGAAGAGACCTCAGGTGGCAGAGCCCACGGCTGGCAAGGGATAGCGGGACTGTGGCTGTGTAAAAGTGTCTATCGTCTTACACCTGCCTACTGTAAGGGGAAAGAGCGCGAGAATTTCCAGGAGCCCGGGGGAGAAGAGAGAGCACAGAGAACTTAGGAACGTCTCCGCTACCGACAAACTATCCAGGAGAAAGCACTCAAGACTAGGCTCAGGTGTGGGTCTGCACAAAGATCTGAGTCACCTCCGCGAGAACGCCAGTGAGATGAACTCTGGGGGGACGAACACACCCAGCAAGACAGGGCAGAGGGAAGCGAGGTCCAGAGGGAAGGCAGACAACCTTCCAGGCAGTGCACGGCCCGCGCACGACGCAAACACGTCTGTGTATGTGAAGGGGGCACTGACTCCGACCTGGGCAAGGGGGCTGAGAGATACACCTCAGGCTACGCGAGCTGGTGGCTGGATGCCTGCCTTCCGGCCTGCCCATGCCAAGCACAGGGAGGCGACGGTACCAGGCCCTCGCCCCACTGGCTGAGCTTGGTATGTGGTTCTCAGGAGGAGGTGGTGCCAGACCCTCAGCCCTGGACTCAGCACAGATGGATCCAGGGGCCATTCTGAGAAGTGGCCCCGCAGCACTATGGGGGCCCGATTTCAACAGGTCAGACCGGGGACCATGGTCCCATTCGTGCCAGGCACAGACACATTATGGTGCATGAGTCTCCAGAGCGGTGCTGGCCAGCCATTGCCAGACAGGGCTGACGCCC